GTTTGTAGCAGATAAAGGTCATGACAGGCAAGTGGCATCGAGTGTGTACGACTGACCTATCGAAATCTTGAGATGAGCTGACTCCTGCAGGACACAAAAGGGAAAAAAATGAAAGCATTCAGATGAGGGACCGAGTATCTGTTTCACAAAGTCCCTGTCGCTGTTCATGATGCCCCTCCCCACCATCAGACATGAAAGAGCGAAGCTCATAATAAAATGGAATAAACCATTCTCCAAGGTTGAATTATTGTAATTACGTGTAATTGAGTGTTTGGCGGCAAAACCATTTCCTCCTCAGATCCCTCATGTACTTTTTGAAAATCACGATCACTTTGTTCTTGGCCCCAGCCACCAATTGACCTTCTCCAATTGCAGTCTTTCCTGAACGGCTGTGACATGAGACAGAGTGGGACTTGAGGGTGGGAGGTTGGGGTGGTATGGTGGGGTTGGGGGGGCTGCGTGCTATGTTGTCACAAGATGAGTTACTCTCCACCAGTTCCATATGGTTTCAGTCATCTGTTGGGCTCATTTCTCTCTTTCCCCTTTACTTTCTGCCTATTTATAAATACATGAAGCCGTTCGCGACGGTCTGGCCTTGGCCTGAGCCTGGGGTTAAGAATGGGAGAAACCACCAAAACACAAATTAGTTCATGTTTCATTCCAGTGTCTCTGAGGAGGTTGGTTTGTTCTGGGGCAGAAATACGTGCCTTTACAGTAGACATGCCTGAGGATGCATAATAGTGGTCATTGTTTCAGGGTTACGCTGGTCAGCCAGCAGTCTCTCAGCAGAAGAGCACAAGTTTAATTGACCTCAAATGGCCAATTGTTGCCTGGAAGAGTTTGTCTTTTGTACTTTGTGGGTCAACAAAGATTATATAAAAATTACAGACTGTTATATTGATGTAGGAGAAAATTGCACTGTATGTTACCTATGCTACCACAGTATAACAATCTCACTATAAAATAGATTTTCTCTGTGAACCCGCTGACTTGTGCTAACGCCCATAATTCTCCAAGTAATTTCAAGCTCAAGAGTACATTTACAACATTACAGCTGTCTAGTGAGGATGAGGCAATGGGGCGACCAGTGACCTGCTCTGTAAATACTTCCATGGAGCTTTTTACGCCTCAAAGACCATTGTGTCAGTGTGAATGTACTTGTCTGTGTCAGCTCTGTCAAGTCGTAATTGGGTGACCATGCAGAAGTTGCAAGAAGCTATTCAGTGAATCCCCAACAAATGTGTTCAACTTTAGGTCAGAGGGCGAAGCAATGTAACTGTCACTGGTGACTAAGTAACACGATTAATTCTGACCCGACTTTTTGTTGAGTATTTTTTCCTTGGTCGACAGGAAAATAAATACAATATTTTGGTTGTAAATGACTATGAAAGCATAGGATTATTCATTATTCATGGTTAATATTAAGGTCGTCTTAAATGCAGAGAGAAGAGAGAAGCTTCAAATTGGAAAATACATGTTTGTATTTCTTATAAGTGGCAAAAGTCTTGTCAGACTTGAACCTTGAACCCAATAGACACAAAAGATTCCAAAAGACTTTGGTTAGTGAACGTTATAAATAGTAGTATACTGATAAAACTGACAGTTTACATCTCACAAGATTAGCATTACTCAGGGTTCACTGAAAAAGTAATCATTATCGAGATAATTACATATAATTGACTTTTGGTGGATCAAGCTAAAATGTCACTTTGATCTTAAAAATAAAACATTCCATGAGTTTTAATAGAGAAATTGTAATTCTAGTATTCATAGTCGATTTGTCAGTCGGTATCATGCACTCCCCCTTGATTACATAGACTCCAGCTCAAAAGTAAGTTGCGATTGGGAATGTCAGGTTGCCATTTTCTTATGATTGGCTGATGAAAGGTATAATTTGGGACTGCCAAGACAGCAACTTCAAAAGCTTCCAATGCCATATTAAGCTGGAATGTGAAAGCTGTCCAGGCAAAAAATGATCCAATTTTCTACTGGCTTTAATTACAAAGAGGATCCCCTTTCATTGGTGGGGCAATTGCTGTCCATTTCTGAAGACCATTGTGGAAAATGATCAAGTCAACCATATCCAGAATGCTTAAATCTGGACTGTTGTAGTGTGGCCATGGCATGATTATATCATATTTGAAACTCACATATCCATACACTCTGTAAAACAACCTCCAGACTGATGGTAACAAAGAACCAAGACCATTTTTGTGCCAAACAAGACACAATGATAACAGCGATGGCCATAGTCCAATCACTCTATGTCCAAAAAGTAGTTTCCTTAATAACCATTTTGTTTGTGCTTGTGGTGACGGGTAGGACAAAATAAAATAAGTGGGAAAAGGGTAATGTGCCTTGTAACCGTGTCCTTTTAGAAAGTTTCCCTTTCTTGGCTGTCACCACGCCAAAAAAATAAAAGCATAAATTGTGGTTGATCCCTGGAGCAGAGACATTGTGCCTGAAGCCTGTTGGTAATGGGCAATGCCCTTTCTAATCTAAATAAAGTTAAGCGTTCGTAACAGCGACTGCATTATGGAAAATCCAATTTGTGATTGCAACATCTGTACTTAACCTATGGGTAGTTCTTTGTTGGTCCAAGCAGCTAAGCTGCATGTCTTTTCCATGATTAGTTTTCCAGGAAACTTACATGCACATGACCTTGCATGCAATGCTTATGATTCATATGCAAAAACTGGGTCCTGGTTATTATGGTGGTAAAAAAGAATTAACATCTAAATATTCTCAGACATGCAAACCCATGCACAGAGAACAGCATCCAGAGATACTGTATATGCACACAAGAACCTTGTGCTTTTCTCACAGTCTTACACAAACAGTCATACTGTATGCATACACAGTATCATGCAGTCTACATACAAATAATAAGATGTTAGCTTACCATTTGTTTGAAAATAGGAATTAACATAAATTAACATGACATCATGAGACAAAGAAAGAAACTTAGATGATTAGGCCCTGACTTAAACGTCATCACTGGCACCAAATATCTTTTCTTCTCTGCTCTAAAAAGGCTTCTTCTATTTGTCTTGTTGACATAATGCCAAACCAAGCAAACTAGATGAGTTATTCTTCACCATCTTAGCCAACCCTCCCCTCTCTACCCCCACCTGTCAAATCCTGTCAGACCATATGTCATGAGGAGAAGGACACGAAGAAAAGGGACCATTCTCACACGTTTGGGATGTGTCCAGAGGCTTATTTGTAAGCCTGCAGGGTGTGGCAGGTAAGCTACCACCTCAAAGGCAACAGCTCCCTCCCATGTAATTGCTCTTCATCAGATCAAGCTGCGTGACATTCCTTCAGACTGTTTCAAGTGACTACTGCCAAAAGACAGAGTCAGTCAACTGCCCTCAAAGGGGGCTATCTCCAGTCTGGACCAGTGGTGGTTGATGGGATATCATTGTGTCATTAGCTCGGGCTTCAGACTACACCCAGCAAATAAACAAGGCTAACACAAATACAGTACATTGAGAGACTCGACAAGCAAAATACAACCGAAAAACATGAGGCTAATAAGCAGGCGACATGCAGCCATTAGACAAAACAGTGTTATTCACCCCAATAAGAGATCCTCTTATCAGAGCTGGGACCATTCTAGCGAGGCAGAGGAAGGATGCATCCTCAGGCAAACCAGAGATAAGGGCCTTTGATAGAATTAAGCCAACGTCAAACAGCCAGTAGATGAGTTCTGTGAAGATAAAGCAGCCAGGACTGACAGGTCTGATAATAGTCCAAACAAAGAGAAAGTGGAGATTAAGGGGTTTCTTTTCAGGCAGTTAAGTGGACTGCCCAGAGGACACTCCAAAACATGGCTCATCTGTCAGGGATGGGAGGAATGGATACCATCACTGACGCTTCATCCAGGGGACAGATAGTATCTAGGAATGCCTGTAAAGAATGCTTAGTCTGTTGTACCATAGTTCAGGATATTAATAGTCGTCTACTTTATCAGCAAGTTTGCATTTTACATTACTGGAATAGTAGAAATAGAAAATGCAAAGGAGAACAAGAATAACATACAGAAATACCACCTTCCAAGCAAAGAAAATTAAAGTGCTATCAGGAGTATAGCTGTCTGAGGGTAACCTATATGGAAAACAATTCTGACTGAATTCAACTGAACAAATAAAACAGATTCCTGTTTAAAACATTTGTTTTTTTAAAACATTTGTTTTAAACAGGAAAAAAAACAGCCAAATAGGATTACAAATTGTTGCAAGCTCCCCATCAATCTGAGTGAGTTGTAATGAGGGCATGTGAAGGCAGGCAAACACAGAGAAGTTAAAATAGTTAAAAGTAATGAATAAACAGCTGAAAAAGCTAAAAGTAATGGATAGACAATTGAAATATTTAGTAATGTAATGTAATGGATAAATGGTTGTATGTTGGTTGTATCAAAAAATATTTCAACACAATCCATTTTCATATAATTAATAGCCTTATATAGTATACAATTTATATTACATTCATAAAAACATATTTGAGTGTTGCAGGTGAAAGAGTACTTGAGCTCATCTGAAAGGGGTCTCCAGCAAAGTGGTTCCTACTGTATTTGAGAATGATCTGCAAAAAGATGGTCTTTCAGCATATGAAGGAACACAGTGTGACTCTATGAAATATATTTAGATAAAATCAGTTGCTGAATGTGAGGTCTGTCATCCTTCTTCTCTAGCCCAGTGCAGTACATGCTCGCAACAAGCTCAATTAGTGTGCTTTATCCCGTGGTTAAGATAAAAGTTAGGAAACTTTAATGCTCTGTTAGACTTCTCATATCGACACATTAAAGGCAGTCATGCCTTTTTGTGCCCATAACCTTAGTCCTTGAAAAGCTGCTCTCTTTCCACAGTCAAAGCTAAGAGTGAATGAAAAAATGATGAGGAGTTAATGCTGAGGCAGCAGAAAGGAGAGACAGTCACAGCACTCAGTTGTAACACAGTCTGGCACAACACTAACAAAGGAAATGAGCAAACCACACAGCAAATAACAGACTTTTATTCAACACTCTGGGCCCCACTGCTTACATCTGGGTGCCAACCTCGGTCACTTACAAATAAACGGATTTATGAGAAATATTACGCACAAATTACTACATTTGTCTAGACAGGACATTATTGTAGCTTTACTTACATTGGCATGACCAAGCAGAATTTTCATAAATATGTCTATTGGTATATGTCAAACATTTACAGCTTCCAAATTTGCACTTAGGAGTAAATGGCATGAATCAGCAAATAAACTAAATTTCTCACAGTGTAAAATTATACATTTGAGTGAGACTTCAGATAAACTAAATTATGCTTCCTACTGAGAATACATTTTCAAGAATTTGAGAATGTAATAGTTGTAATTCCACAGTTATATGGCACATTACATTCACCTGGGAAAATATTTCAACATTATTTGAGGTTTTGTTAGTGAGTAATGTTTTCTCTTTGTAGCCTACTAATAAGCATAAGCAATATTCTCATTATTGTGTATCAATATCTGTAACACTTTCAGTCCACAACAATAATTTTACTATATTGCACTGACTGAGACTTCAAGTGGTAATGAGGCAATGCAAGGCACCAAACATCATGAATTCCTTCATTTTCATCATACACCACAAAAGCAGAACTTGATGTCATGATAGATCTTATTCTACAAAATATGCATTGATGCACATAAACAGAAAACACAGACAAACCTTGCTGGATTGCTTTTGTAAAAAACTTTAAAAGCAACTTAATCCCTCATTACAATGGGACCAAGTGTGAAAGAGCAAATTCTGAGTAGCTCACTAATGTATCAATTACAGTACAATACAAAGAATTCAAAAAGACATCTGTAATGAGTATAATCAAGTAGAACACCAGAAAAAAAATGTCTGGCATAAATCATAAATAAAGCGTACTAATTTCATCAGGTTTTGGGGTTTTGGTTTGTTCTGATGCCATAATACATAATAGTAATGTTTTAAAATGTAGTGTGGTCTTAGCATTATGGTTGTCTGGTGCAGACAAAATGGCTCTTGGGGCCATAACCATGGACACAGATATATGCACGCTGAGAATAAAAAACAGGCTAAAGGCTATATTCAAATCTGCAATTTGGTCTTCCTGCATGTTCAAACTACACAGACTTGTGAAGCCAAGTTCATTTCCAAGCAATAGGACCTTGAGCTCGGTCTTGTTTGCACGTTGGAAGCAAGTGGGGGATCATTTTTATCACACCAATGACTGCTACTGGTTGGTTACAGCACCTGCATGAATGGAAGTGAGACCTAGGGGAGCCAACTACTGCATGCATTACACACTCCTGGTGAATTGTGAAGAAGTAATCGGTTGCTTCATATGTATAATACATGGCTCTCCACAGTCTCCCCAGGCCAGCAGTACACAGGGAATACTTCAGATATTTTGAGGTCATAGCAGGAAAAGCACAGGTATAACCCATAATACTAATTATGGCTGCATTCCATTTAGGTTTCCCAGTTCCATGCTCATGATACTGATAAGCTCTGCTGTTCCTGTTATAAGTCAAAATGTGTACTGTGAAAAAAGTCAATTGACCATTCCAGTTTGAGAAGAAAACACCAACAGAAAAGTTAAACATAACATAAATATGTTTTACTGAAATAAGGAGAAAAACAGACTTGTGGTAAAAGTAGTCAGTCTCAAGGCAGCCTAAACCTAGCTCATGATCCCTGTTAAGCAGGTATTATACTTTAGTATGCTACAGTCCACTGGGGTCCGTGTCACAAAACTATCGCCATCAGACTTCAGAAAGTAGTACAAACATAACTACTATCAAGTATATTCAGGCCTTTAGTGGGTGAACAATCCAACACTTGGTGAATCCTGCTTCACATTGAGAGGTGACATCGCTATTAGAGCTGGGCCGCGGTACTGTCACGTGTGACCTCACAAACCTGATCAAAACAGCCGAATATGGAATGTGTCTCCAACCAAATTAAATGTGTATTTTTCAGTGTTTTACATCAGTTCTTTACACAAAGAAGAATATGACACATTTCAGCTTTAGCCCTAACAAATCATATACTACTTGAATTTCTGTTGACTTGAATGGTCACAGTTCACAGGCTCAACAAGTCGTTCTCTACAGCTACTTCAGTCCTTTGAAAGGGGCTCTTCCATTTGCTTTTTCATTAGCTTAATTTTTAGTGTGTAATATTCCTCTTGCAGCTTGAGGACGGCCTCTTGTCTTCTCAGCACAGATATTTCCAAATCCATTCGCTCTTGCAAAGTTGGGCAGTGTACTGAGGGCGGAGAAGTAGAGCAGGGAGTATCTAGTCGTTCTGTAGACGCAGTAAAGCCAGCAGCACGATGAGCACTAAACTGCACTGCCAGTGATTTCGGGACGTTGGTGAAAGTCACTTTCTGTTCTGCTGAAGAAGTAGAAGGATCTGGATATGTAGGGAGATCAAGCTCAGTCAGTGGATGTTTGTTTGAGAATCTTTCATCTATTGTGTGGTCATCTCCATCTTCATCACAGCTGCAAAAACAAGAATTGTTGACAAAAATTTGCATTTTATCCTTAACACATAAAGGGCGGGTTCATCCAAATGACAAAAAAAAATGGCCTCAATGCAACCCTATTACAGATGCATATTTTCAACAAATTACTGCTTTCTAAGCACACAAAAAGAAAAAAATGTACCTGTTTTGGTGAGTTTCCACCAACTCTGAGACTGAAGAGTTTTCTCCATCCTGTTGCAGCATGTCTGAGAGGTTCATCACAGAAATCACTACTTGAGTCACAGTACTGAACTGATCAAGGGACAGGCCTTCTGTGAATTCAAAATCAGGATGTTCATCGATTAATATTAAATACAATACAATAAATTCAATACAGAAATCAACAATGGGGATTTGCTTAATTGCAGCCATCCCCACATATCCACCCTCAAGGCCTTGGCTTATTTAAACAGTCTTAGACTGTAGATTTAATTATATTAATTATAAGGTATAAGGATTTTATTCCTAACAAACTTTTCCTCACCTGTTCCCGCTTGCCTTTTTTGTCGTTTGATCTCCTCCCTTGACTTTGCCAGCAAATTCTCCCACTTTTTGTTACAGTCGGAAACTGTACGCTGAATCTGTGGAAAGGCAGCATTGATGGCTTGGGTTATTTCCTCCCAGGCTTGTCTTTTATCCTGTATTGAAACTCCGGTGCTGCACTTCCCTCGGATTACGCCTTTCCTCTCCTGCATTAACTGAGCAAGGAGAAGACACTCCTGGTCTGTCCAGTTAGGTCTTCGCTTCCTGGTGGACATCCCTTCAATAAGTTGTAGGGGCATTTTTCTGAGATACACACACAGATTGATTATATGATTGATTATCTGTATGTACATTTGTTCCCTATTACATCCCTATGACACACACATACAGTGCAAAAAATTCAACATGACTGGATTTAAACATATTATTTAACATGGTCATCTAACTAAAAGGTAAAGCCTTCCACTTAAGTCTCTTTAAACTTAAGTTGTTATCCTTAAGAGATTTTTGAAATGTTAAGATTTTCTCTACCTGCAACTCAATCAAGGCGAAGAGCAACTCGATACCAGGTCAGACGCTTTAAGGTTGTTAATACTATGAGGTAAAATACACGCTATAGTAAATAATAACTGAGAACCGCTTAAGGTAAAATGTAAGGCTTTCTTCTCCGTCTCAGGGAAAATCCACAGCGTCGCAGGATAATGACGTCCTCACTCGGTGACGTGTCAGGTTGTTTACAGCGGTGACTGCGTCGCAGCTGCACCGACATGGCTGTGGACATAACTTTACTTTTCAAAGCCAGTGTAAAGACAGTCAAAACGAGGAACAAAGCGATAGGAATAGGCTTTGACTCTGCCAAAGATGACATTTTCAAGAGGAGCAGACCCAAGAGTGGCTTCTCTCCGAAGGCGAAAGAAGTGGTGAGTGTTTGCTCAAGCTAACTTTAGCTAACTGGGCTAGCATCGGCACAGACAGACTTTACAATGACAGCTAAAGTGTGGGACTGCTGTGGTGAAGTTTACTGGTCATGCTGTATTGTAGAAGCAGCAGCACGCTTTGATAATGTGTACACAAAGTTAGGTAGTTCTCCGGTTTGCTTTGGGTTGCCAAACTGAAACTCAATGCATGAGTTTATTACAGTGTGTGCTAGCCAGCTGTTCATAGTTAACCAGGCCTCTCTCTTTAGCTGTGTCATAACTTTGTTAAATGCAAAATCAATCCAATGGGACCGGGCAATAGAAATAAAATCCTCTATCACAATTTATATGTTACTTTATATGATGGTATGCTCAGTTTCCCAGAAAATACATTGATGAACTGTTGATGGATAAAATATCCAGGCAACAATGATAAATGTAAATATCTGACTAATCAAGGCACTTTCACCACATTGATGCTAAAATCTAATATTACCATAAAGCTGACATGTTTATTGTTTCCTGCACCCAGAAATATTAAAGGAATAATCATATTGGTGTAAAATGTGTGGCAAAGTGTGCCTTGTGTAGGCCAACAATATAGGATTTTCTCATGTTCAAGAAATATTTTCATATGACCATATGGTATTGGCTACTCTGTAATTTTTCAAACACTCTTTCAAACCAGAAACTATGATTGTATCACGCAGTGAATCAGAGCTTTATGTTTCTCCCTCTGAATTGTGTTATTTATTTGCAGCTCTCAAAAAGGAAATCACTTTTCTTCAAACTGTTTAGTAGTAATGGTAGTGATGTACTAGTTTAGTCTTTTCTGTAAACACAAATGTACATGTTACAGGATGCACTGTCATTCCATGTATTCAAAACAAAGTAGTTTTCCACAGAGCCATTACCTACTCAACGGCGCTAGGCTGGAACGATCTGTCTGCTTTTGACTCTGCGTCTTTCTCCAACTCGCCGTGCAGGGTGCCTACTCTTGTGGCATCAAGGTTGTAAATTGCAGTTAACAAATAGGTTCGATTAAAAATCTTACAGTTGGCATTTCGTTTTTTGCTGTTAATCTATTGTCCTTTTTGGCACATATTTGTACATCTTTGGCACAGGTTTTACTCCTAACTGATCGACAGACCAGAGATTCATGCATTGCACATATTTTGTGTACAGTACTGCTTGTCTGTACCCACTCACAAAGCAGGGAGAGACTGATGTTTCTACATAATTAAAACTAAATTGTCTCTCTCAGACAAAGCAATGTCCTCTTCTGCCCTGCTTTGTTATGCGCCTGCTTGACCATTATATTCCTTTGAAATGTGAGCATATCATGGCCAGCAATTATTATTTTCAAGTAGACATGAATAAATACTGTATGGACTAAACACTGCAAATAACATTACAACAACTTAACCTAAGTTAGTCCACTTCTGAAGATAAATCACTGCAAAAATGTCATCTACTGTACACAAGGAAATAAAGATACTGAAATAACATAGCATTCATAAAATTGCCCCTATTTTTACTTGAACTTTGGTTGGACTACAGGAATTTTCAAATCCTGCCCAGTCTGGGCAGTTCAGAATAAATGACTGCTCTGCTTGAGATCTGGGAAGACAAAGGCTAAGTTGTTTGAAAAAAAAAAATCACAGTGGGCCAACTGGCCAGACTCAGCAGTTTTGAGCCCAGAATATTTTGTGCCAACTGTCAAGTTCAAATGTCACTTCTCCCCCAACACTGACAGGCCTGGATTCTGGGCTTTGAACTGACCCGGAAAATTGCCCAATGTGATCTAGACTTTAGGCTGCCGAAGCAGAAACATTACTTATAAAAGTAGTGGAGAGCCCTCTCCTCACTTCATTTAGATTGAAAGGACATGGCAAGTTTTCTTATAATGTCGTGAACTATTTGAAACAAGCATTCAAACCGAGCTAAATGTTTATCTATAGGTTGTAATTGTGTTGACAGCTTTGGTTTCAGTACGTCTGTTGAAAGACTTAGCTCACTGTGTACTAATCTTGATTTTAAATTGTTGAAAATTTCACATAGCCTTTAATATGTTGTTGGGAAAAAAGTTGTTATGAACCTCTTGTCATGGGAAACTGACCTTAAAAACTTGGCAGGGCAACATTGGCGTTTAATTAGTTCAGGAATTTTGACAAAACAGCTCAAATTTTATTCTTCCATTGAGGCACTTAGACATTGTCAGTGGTTGGCAGTAGGAGATGGATTATTGGCAACTAAAAGGCTTCGCTCCATGTCACGAGTGTTGCTTCTACAGCCAGAAGTCTTTGGCCTGACATGTATACCATGAACACAAACCTCTTCAAAGGCACCTTGAAGAACCACTTTACGTTTCCCTCGGGGAGTCAGGACTTTAAGTTGTACCTGATGTCTCCAACCATCAGTCTGAGGCAAACGTGAGCCCAGTCACAGCAGCTCTGCACAACCAGGGTTTTGTTATGTTCTGTTACATTGATATTAGAAATGGTGGTTTAATAAAAGCAGTGGTGCTGATTCAAAGAAACCCAAACCTATCCTGTGGTGCCTGCCCTCTGCTCTCCTCCCCCCTACCGCTGTCTCCCTCATGCTGCAGATATAATCTCAAACCATCTCGATGAAGCAGCTTGTGTAGAAATTGAAATTGCGAGTTTGGAATGTCCTGACTGCTTACAGTTATGTTGCGGTTTTCACCCACAACTCAACTCTCCATTCTTCTCTGTACAGCCTGACATAGGCAGCATTTTTTGTGCAAGTCCGCTCTTCACATGTATGATTCCATAAACATGCTGCAATAACATTTTCTTTCGGCTCTTGAACAATTTCTTGGGGAAAGCCGATCCTCCCAAGAGCCAGTGATTAAAGGTGGAAGATCAAAACAGAGAAAATATTAAATTAGGTCCTCAGTAACAATGTTGACGGCCGGCACCTAATGCACAACAGATGTGGGTGCCCTTCAAGACATGCATAACTCTCCAAGTTCCCACCGAAGCTTCACAAAAATAGAAGGAAAACATCAAAGTTGACAAATACACAGTGGTCCTATGAGGTTTTTTCCCATTCAAAAAGCAACTCAATGAGAAAGGAAATGCAGCTTCTCTCAAGGCAATTCAAAAAAGGCTTGATTGACTAATAAGAGGGCCAGTGTTTACAGGGTGGGGTTTGGTCAGGGGAATCTTTTACCTCATAGGGGTCGGTTTGGGGCACTGTGATCTCCATTTCACCGCTCACCTCGTCTCTCTCCACAGCATGCTGCCCTTCTCGAGTTTAAATGGAGGAGGTCACTTTAAAATTGGTAAATTGTGTGTAGAAAATAGTGCTTTGCTCCCCACTGTGCTTTTAGTATTGGTATTCCAAAATAGGCTCCTTCTCACAGTGTTTTCTTAGAAACCCTGAAAAGTGTGGCCCTCAGCCAGCACTTAAAAGTATGTTGTGCTGTTAGGGAGGGGGGGTCTCTTCCCTATGATAACTTTCACATTGAAAGAGTATGCTAGTATATTCTCAAAACATTTCGTTTGAAATTTAAGAGTCGGGTTTGCTTGATATTTGTGTTAGTAATGATACATGTCAAAGCCAAAAATGTTTTTTTTAAACATTCACAATTTCATAAAAGTTATGTTTTGGAGAAACTCTGGACTATATCAGCCCAAATAATTTCTTTATCTGATGATCTTCTGCATTTATTAGGTCATGTTGGGCTGATGGTGTACAGCAATGACATTTATGAGTTAATGTCAGCCATTTGGGGAATAAAGTGCACTAGTGTGGAAAACTGCCCTTTTGACTTGAATATTTTGCCAGGCCTCTTCTTAAAATAAAAGTTATTGTCGGTCAAGTAACAAAGTTAAAACATTTATGGTAGAAGCACAAAGCCTAAGTACTGTTGAGCCTTACAGAGAGAGTAAAAAAAACAACAACCATTCATATAGCAAATAAAACAAATCCTGACTTTGCGTTGATAAGATATTGTCTCATGAGACAACATAAAGCTCATTGAAGCCTCTTTATATTGCACATTTTATGGAGGTTTGCAATATATATATTTTTATGTAACATTATTTCTAAAAACATATGGATAAAAGTGGAATAATCTTTCCAACCCCAAGACACTTGAACAAAACGTTTCCTCTTTCATTTCTACACTCATCAAGCTACATTGGCACAAAACATGCTGGCGTACAGCTGTCAAAGCCAAGACTATACTAAGTCAGTGCTTCAGCCATGGGGAAGTGATTTTCAGGGATCACCATGAGATGAACGTGCTGCTAAATGGTCTCTTTACCAGTCGGCCTAATCTCTGCACTGTTTTCCCATGAAAGCCAGGCAAATTGAATTTTGAGGCATCTGCTGTCAGGCCTGAGCGCAGTCTTGATTTTGTTTCACTGCATGCAACAAAATGTTCCTACATGATTCATGAAAATGAAAATAAAAGAGGAAAAAGTAGTGAGATGCAGATTTACAGATGTATGTCAAACTCTAAATCATAAGATGGACACCAGATACTGTACTCTGCAGACCAAATAGTTTAAGCGGAACAAAAGTAATGTTGAGCTCAATAGACTAGGCTCAGTTTAAACATTTAAATGTGTTCCAAAACAAAAGCAGCAGCTGTTGATGCTTTTTGAAGAATGTTGTCAGGCTTTGTCATTAGACAATCTTAGTTATTGTGATTTACAATCGCTGAAATACTACCAATACAGATGACAGCAGGCTGCATACTTAACCCTGACACTCCAAAATACAGAGAGTCTGAACC